ACAAAAACATTACCGGCATATCTTAATAAAACAAAACAAAAACACGTGGATTGATATGGCAGAAACGATGCCAATGTGATATTGCCTAAACGGTTATGCCAAACAAATTTAAAATAAGTTGTGCGATTTATATATAAATGCTTGTAAATAATTTATTATTTTACCTTGTCTTTGATCGTGATTTTTATGTATTTTGATTTGACGCGAGAGTACTGGTATAATGGTAACAGATACCGTCACACCAAAGAAGGTTGGGTCAATTGTAATACTTAGTATTAACAATCGACACAAACATAAAAAGAGCATGCCACAAGTCCAAAAAATAAGAGAGACTCGAGCTTACGTGACAGATCCATATCCGCACGTCTCTACTGGGGCGACATTACCTGCTAATTAACAATCTACAGTGGATTTTGGCAGATGTCATATAATTACTATCATTGCAATACATGCCAGGTTATATAAAAAGGCAATATTGATATACTAAAAAATCATTTGGAAGTAGTGTGACATTCAATTTTACTATGACATTCTTTAATGTCAAATTACCACAGTAGTATCACACAAAATTTCAAAATCACCGAATGAAATATTTTTCAAATTCTTCAACCTTGGAACAAGGCTTTTTACCCAATCGGAACTGAAATGAAAAAAATAGAAGTAGAACCTCATTTTCTATTTGCGGTACTTGAATAGAAATCGGATATCAACTCAAGACAGGAAACTACAATAAGACAAACTAACCATTGCTAAGGATGATAAAAATTGAATGATTTACACAAAGAAAATACCACTTTTTGTCATCATACTTTTAGGAAAAGTAGAACTCGCGAATATATCAAAAACTTCATTTTTCACTTGTCCGTTTTCTTCAAATGGAGCTATATTTTGAGAATCAGTGTAAACAAATGTAATTAAGCAATAAAGTAATTGAGCAACTGATATCTTATAGAAATAATTTCATTTTAAAACTTACTTGATATGAATGTTTACACCAGCGATGTCTATCAGTAGAGATCTCCGACTAAAATGACAAACGCAAGCACTTCAAAGAGGTTCATTGCGACAGACACGTCATCAGGAGATATGCTGGCACTTCTGAAGTACACAGCGACGGGTGAAATTAAATCGGAACTCCTTCAACAGCGCTTCTTTAAAAATGTGTGAGGCAGACAAGAGTGTCCGATTTGAAAGAGGTAGGTAAGTTCAGATTTAACGCGATTTTCTTGCTTATATCCATAGAAAACTGCCATGTTTAAATCAAACCAAATGGAGTCAAAATATATAAAAAAAATTACGAAAACCACTGGTAAGGTTTCGTCAGAAGGTTATTAATGTCTACCCCGACAGCTACAAGCATTACTTTTACATGTTAAGATATAGCATGAAGACTAAGGACCAGAAACAATCAAAATACAGTAGTTTCACATACCAGTATAACCTTGAAACGAACCTTTTCATAATATGAATGTCCTAGCCTCATATAATTTTTGTATGCTTATTTCAAGCGTGGGCTCGTATAATAGGACATTAAGTTTTCGACTTAACCCTCCGAAACAACGCCCTTCTCCGTTCTCCGTCTCTCTCAATCCTCTTCTCCTCTCCTCTCCCCCTCTTCCTTCCTCGGGTATCAATTATGATCACTCATATACTTATTTCTTATCTTACGCGATTCTAATGCTATACTATTGCGCGATGCACGTCAACCTTAATTACTTATACTTGTATAATTCTAATTAATTAATTAAAATTTCTTTACCTTGGCGTTATACAAAGAGGCCGCCACGTTACTCGGGAACTATTGGACCACAACTCATATGACCTCATAAGATATCTTTTGATCTTTGTGTTGGACACGACAACCTGTTTTCACAATAATCATTTAAATGTTACAGAAAACAGATAAAGGGTATATACCATCAATACGCGTTTTACCCTTATCATTTTGATATATTGTCAAGGATAAGAAATTCATTATACTCGTATTGTAAGATTAAAAATAAAAGCCAGTTTCATAAAGTTGCAGCACAAAATGATGGGGCGGCTTTTTGGCATCCCTACGACCACAATAACTACAACAATGAGCATGGTGTCCTGCTTGAAACCTCGAACGATTTTTTACCAATGTTGAGATTGGGGGAGGGGGTATCCTCCCGGAGGCATGCCTTCAAGTCCTTTTCAATGGCAAGTACACGGTCTTTTTCAACATCTCGTGAGCTTAGTTGTGTGGAGGGACGGAGAGGGGGGTTGCATCCAAACGCCTGATCCATATATTACCCCAGTAACATTCTACTAATACGTATACGAGCCAAGGTGAATCAATATACTGACTATGGATCCACTGACATCTTGGGATTGGTTACTTAATATCAGGGGAGGATCCAGAGATATTTTCTGACAGTCTTCCAAATTATCTTTGTTGATCCATCCTCCATTTTTGACCGTCTTCTGGCAGAAAAAATTAGATACCCAGAAGATGGCCTAAATCCGCCCGTTTATAATAAGGAATGAATCAGGAGAGGAGAGGAAAGTTCCACATTGTCAACTTATATGACAAGATGCACAGTTTATTCTAACTTGTCACAAAATAGCAGAGCCGTAGAATCGATCTAGACGTGAATTTGAACCATGTTTGCGTAATCCTTCTGTTCATCTCCTTGCGCTTCCCTACCCGCATGATTTATGAGGCCGTCGTTTCATTAGCACTTTGATATGGCTCTCTTTGACATTTATCATTTTGCACCGGCACAACATTATTCCAGGAAAACGAGTTGCCAGGCACTTGTTTTTCTTACTATACTACCTGTATAAGCTTGGAAATTGGCTGGTCTATACGCAGCCTTATTACGGGCGACAGTGATGGGGACTCCTCTGTACAAGGAATACGATTCCTCCAGCTGATATTCAATGCTCTTCCTTATAGTAGTATGAAACTGCTTTCCGTGAGGATTCTTTTGTCTATAGCTACTTATATTTGTCTGATCTTAGCTTTTCACTAACCCCTTTCATGCCGCACTACCTTACATGAAAGGGGTTAGTGAAAAGCTAAAAAGAGCATTCAGAAAAAGGAATGTAGTTTTACACCATAAGGCAGGACAGACTTTGAGAGGCATCCTAGTATCCCCAAAGGACAAATAAGACCCAGGAGAACAGTGTGGAGTTGTATAACAGTGTGAATGTCAGGTGTGTAGAGAAAAATACATAGGAGAGACAGGACGTTCCTTAACAGAAAGAATCACTGAAAATCAAAAGTCCATCAAAAAACGTGATTAAAAATCTGCCTTCAGCCAACACTAGGAACAGACAGGGCATTGTATAACNGATCATATCCCCCATGTCTGTTGACCTGGATTTTCATTCCAGGTGAAATGACCCTAGTCATTTACTCCCTGATGATGGTTACTGACAGCCATAGAAATATTGGAGATAATACCTACATATTTTAGAAGCTCTTGATAAAAAGAAAAACAATAATTTAAATTGATACATACAGAGCTAATGAAACTCTTCTCTCATTTGTATTTTTTGTATTTTTTACAGTTCTAATGTTGTTCTGCAATGAATGTAACAGAGTATTTTTTGAGAAGTCCATCAGAATGTCCTAGAACAGATTAAGAACATTTTTATTAAAGAGAAAAACATTATGTTCTAGGACAGATTAAGAACCGTAAGTGAGCGTTAAATGAGACAAATTTTCGCAGGGGACATACCTGAATTTAGTAAATTTAAGTTTAAAGAAGTGTTACGTGACATAAAAATCGGTTAGAAATTAGAGATATCTTAGAATTAAGTGTTACACGGAAATATTTCTAATTTTGCGGTAGGGAATGTGATGTTTGTTAGGGCTTGTGGATAAAGAAAGTTTTCATTGAATTTATTGTCGGGATGTCATGATAAATTATTCCGCACCAATCGGACATATTAACCTACGTTAGAGCCATCAAAATGTGTTGCAAAAACATTACCGGCATATCTTAATAAAACAAAACAAAAACACGTGGATTGATATGGCAAGTTCAACGATGCCAATGTGATATTGCCTAGTTCCATTGGGATCGGTTATATAATTATATATTTATGAGAATATTTTGAATTCGGTTATGCCAAACAAATTTAAAAATAAGTTGTGCGATTTGTATATAAATGCTTGTAAATAAATTATTACTTTACCTGATCTTTGATCGTGATTTTTATGTATTTTGATTTGACGCGAGAGTATACTGGTATAATGGTAACAGATACCGTCACACCAAAGAAGGTTGGGTCAATTGTAATAATTAGTATAAACAATCGACTCAAACATAAAAAGAGCATGCCACAAGTCCAAAAAATAAGAGAGACTCGAGCTTACGTGACAGTTCCATATCCGCACGTCTCTACTTGGGCGACGTTACCAGCTCATTAACAATCTACAGTGAATTTTGGCAGATGTCATTTTAACGGGGCATATAATTGCTATCATTGCAATACATGTTGCCAGGTAATATAAAAAGGCAATATTGATATACTAAAAAATCATTTGGAAGTACTGTGATATTCAATTTTACTATGACATTCTTTAATGTCAAATTACCACAGTAGTACCACACAAAATTTCAAAATCACCGAATAAAATATTTTTCAAATTCTTCAACCTTGGAACAAGGCTTTTTACCCAATCGAAACTGAAATGGAAAAAATAAACGAAATCAAACATGTCTATAGTTTATCCATTTCCGGACCATCTCGATATTATATGTAGAGTTCATGACCAGATAAATCGACTTGCAGAACTCCATTTTTTTCGTTTAAAAGGTTATTATGCAATAATCTTCTGATATATTGCCAAGTGTAATAGGTATCTTTCACTATTTACCATACTGGATATTTAACTGAGAAACAATTTTACCTGACAAACCGCGTGAGTAATTATTCTAATACATATGTAAGCATACTGTATATTGCATGCCTGCCTATATTCCATGTATTGTATGGTAAAACTTACCATTTATGATAAATATTGTGGGTAGCTTTTTACTCCAGTTCAGGGTCGTACTTTTTCAAAATCTGCAATTGATTGAATATTTTAGGTGTCACATCAAATACGGATAGAATTTCCTTGCAAGAAATGACTGATGAATATTAAGAGAAAAAAATATCAGAAATTTCTGTTTTTATTTCACTGAGACATTCCTTAACATTTTTAAGTGAGGTATGTAATTCCTACTGCATGTACCTCCAAGAACAAATAAGCACATTTTACTAATCGCGGTGTTCAATATGAATTTTCTCAAACAAAAATTGTTATAGTCTACAGAATAATGAAAACATTGGTATAATCAAACATAGCCTACCATTGCACATGCTTCAATACATTCCTCGTCGCTTACGAATCCATCACCTGAATTAGAAAACATACTTTGAAAACATCACTTTGAATTAGAAAACATTACATTGTGACGTTACCATAGCAACCCAGAGTATGTACATGTAACATAACGCATTTGCTCCGTTTCAGAAAAATATTAATTTGAGATTCGCTCTTAACTCTAAAGATTAAAGCACGCTTACCATCGATATCCAGTGAGACTATCTGGTCTATATCAGCCATGGTTAAAACCCCATCGTTACTGAAATCACCCAGTTGGAAGAGCGCATGGATCCACGTTATTTTTAGAACAGAACTGGCTTTCATGAAATATCTCACATATTCACTTGCCGTGACTTCATCATTATCTGAAAAAAAATGACAGGCATTGTCAATAATATGTTTCTGATTCGCATTAATTTATGAAGTCTATGTTCGGATGTACTACATAGGATAGCACAGAATGGACAGTTTTGTACAAAACGTTTGCATGTTATCTGGAGATAACCATATACTACTTTTACGAAACATTTAGTATATTTTATATTACTTTTAACCATCGTCAACACAAAATACGTCCTTAAACCTACGGTCGGTGTCAGCGGCATCCAAAAATGCGGCCCATTCCAGTTTGCCGATCATTCCGTCTTTGTTGGAGTCAATGATATTGTAAAGCAATGTTCCTATTTCCATTGCTGTGGGGGGCGGTTTTTTGGCATCCCTACGACCACAATAACTACAACAATGTGAAACAGCTCTGTTGAAAAGTATCTCTGACTACATAATGTGTTCTTCAGTACGCAGGGAAAGTCAAAAGAAAATATATGAAACAGACAAAAACCAATACAACACGACCATTTTGGTGTTTAACCGGATGTTTCAGTTTGAAATTGTCGGCCATATGTCATACATAGTTGGAAACAGTTGATTGCAACGGCTTTCACGGGGCACTGAACGATGGTTTACAATTAATATGGAGAGAGAGAGAGAGAGAGAGAGAGAGGGAGAGAGAGAGATTCCAAAACGTGCGCGGGTGCTTACATGTTTGTTGCCATGGAGACAAGACACAGGCCCACGATCATCAAGTGGAACACCATTTTCTATTTGCGGTACTTCAATAGAAATAAGATATCAACTCAACATGAACACTACAATAAGACAAACTAACCATTGCTAGGGATGATAAAAATTGAATGATATGCGCGCGCGCGCGCACACACACACACACACACACACAGATTTATCACTTTTGTCATCATACTTATAGGAAAAGTAGAACTCGCGAATATATCAAAAACTTCATTTTTCACTTGTCCGTTTTCTTCAAATTGAGCTATATGTATCTAGTTTCTAGTTTCTAGTTTCGTTTTTCAAAAACGATTCTGGCAACCAGAAACTAGTGTCGTTTTTCAAAAACGATTCTGAGAGAAGCCAGAATCGTTTTGCAAAGAAAAAGAGGAGTGGACAGAGAGAAAGGCAACCGGCGTGCTACCGCAACCAGGTAACCCTCACCGCGGAAGCCGGGCAATGTGTAACGAACTCTCCTCGCCGTGTGCTGAGACGGAGACGCCCGCTGATAAGCGTCTAAGGCGCACAAGTAGCCTTCACTGCGGAAGCCGGGCAGGGTGTTTAGGTTGGTGGGAGAAGGCGGGGTTGAGGGTTAGGTTGGGTTAGATGCCCAAAAATCAGTGTCGTTTTTTGAAAAACGATTCTGGCAACCTGTACGCCGTAGGCAATAAGCGGTGACCGTCTCGGTCTCAGCGCAAGTAGAGGAGAGACTGTAACAACCTTCTCGGTTTTCGCGGTGAGGGTTACACAGTCATGGTACACGCTAATCACGGGTTGCCTCTCCCTCCGTCCACTCCTGTTTCTCTCTGCAAATACGACTCTGGCTTCTCAGAATCGTTTTTCGAAAAACGACACTGGTTTCTGGTTGCCAGAATCGTGTTTCAAAAAACGATACTGGTTTTTGGGCATCAGAATCGTTTTTGAAAAATAATAAATAAAATAAAAAATTATACTTTAAACTACTTAGGGAGATCGGGGGAGGGGGGGAGCTTTTCCCCCTCATCATCCTCATCACCTCCTCCCCCACCAAACAACCCCACCTTAACACCATTCCCGGTTCCGCGGTGATGGCTACCTGTACGTCGTAGGAGTTAATCGACGATCGTCTCAGTCTCAGCACACGGCGAGGAGAGGCTTCCACGTTGAGGGTTACCTGGTCGCAGTAGACGCTAATCACGGGTTGCCTCTCCCTCCGTCCACTCCTGTTTTTCCCTACAAAACTATTCTGGCTTCTCTCTGAATCGTTTTTCAAAAAACGACACTGGTTTCTAAGCATCAGAATAGTATTTTAAAAATTCAATAAATTAAAAATTATACCTCAAACTAAAAAGGGAGGCCCCGGGGGACCCTTCCCCCTCCTCACCCTCACCCTCTCCCTTATTCCCCTAAAGCCCATTCTCGGCTTCCGCTGTGCAGGCGGCCTGTGACTGGTAGAGGCGGTCAACCCAGCCTCAGCGCACAGCGAGGAGAGACCGTAACATTCTCTGCAAAACTAATTCTGGCTTCTCAAATTCGTTTTTGAAAAACGACACTAATTTCTCGATGCCATAATCGTTTTTGAAAAACGAAACTAGTTTCTAGTTGCCATCTAGAATCGTTTTTGAAAAACAACACTAGTTTCTGGTTGTCAGGTTCGTTCTTGAAAAACGAAACTGGAATCTGAAATCAGACACCAACTTCAGCGCTCCTGTAAAGAGATGTAATTGCCCAAAAAGTAATTGAGCAACTGATATCTTATAGAAATAATTTCATTTTAAAACTTACTTGATTTGAATGTTTACACCGGCGATGTCTATCAGTAGAGATCTCCGACTAAAATGACAAACAGAAGCACTTCAAGGAGATTTATTGCGACAGACACGTCATCAGAAGATATGCGGGTACTTCTGAAGTACTCAGTAACGGGTAAAATTAAATCGGAACTCCTTCAACAGCGCTCCTTTAAAAATGTGTAAGGCAGACAAGAGTGTCCGATTTGAGAGAGGTAGGTAAGTTCAGATTTAACGCGACTTTCTTGCTTATATGTATATAGAAAACTGCCCCGTTTAAATCATACAAAAACGGAGTCAAAATATATAAAAGTCAGAAGGTTATTAATGTCTACCCCGACAGCTACAAGCATCACTTTTACATGCTAAGAAATACCATGAAGACTCAGTAAATAAAGAGCAAATCAGAAACAATCAAAATGCAATAGTTTCACATGCCAGTATTATATGTTTTTCACAATAATCTTCTAAATGTTACAGAAAACAGATAAAGGGTATTTACCAACAATACACGTTCACTTATCATTTTGAAATACATATTTTCAAGGATGAGAACTTCATATACTATATTGTTGAATTAAATATAAAAGCTGGTTTCATAAGGTTGTAGCACAAAATTTTGTTTTTGTATCCGTTTCAATCAACGAATATAATATTTTCGGTTTTTTTTTGTGTGAAATGAGCATGGTGTCCTTAATTGACACCTCGCGCTACTTCTTACCAATATTAAGATGGGGGAGGGGGGCATGCCTGTCAAGACCTTTTTAATGGCAACTAAACAATTTTTTAAACATCTCGTGAGCTTGGTTGTGTTGTTCAATATGCTACGCGACTTAACTACCCATATCTTTCCGCAGCGAAGGAAGGAACTGCGCATGCGTATAGCTTCTTCCATACAAATCTTTTGAGCGGGGTGGTGGGAGGGGAGCATCCATTCTACTAGCACGTATTTGCGCCAAGGTGAATCAATATACTGACTATGGACCCACTGACAGCTTGGGTTTGTTTATTTATAATAAGGAATGAATCAGGAGTGGAGTGGAAAGTAACACAATGTCAACTTATATGACAAGGTGCACAGTTAAGTCCAACTAGTCACAAATTAGCAGAGCTGTAGAATCGATCTAGACGTGCATTCGACCTATGATTGCGTAACCCTTCTACTCTTCTCCTTGCGCTTCCCTACCCGCATGACTTTGTATAAGGTGGTCGTCACATAAGGACTTTGATGCGGCTCTCTTTGACATTTTATTTTTGCACCGGCACAAAATTACTCAAGGAAAACGAGTTCCCAGGCACGTATGCATGACTTGTTTTTCTTACTACCTGTTAAAGCCTGGAGATTGGTTGGTTTATACGCTGCCTAATTAAGAGCGACAGTGATGTGGACTCCTCTGTGCAAGGAATACGATTCGTCCACCTGATATTCAATGCTCTTCCTTATAGTAGTATGTAACTGCTTTCCAGCTTCTGTTTTGGTCCAAGCTTCAGACTTCGTAGCAAAATGCTCTCTACTCAAGCTTAATGAAAGTCCTTTATTTCAAGAACGTGGTCAAGATTAGGGTTCCAAAATTTCTTAATTGCTTTCTTCCCATGCAGGTTTGAGCCGTCCTGTGTTTCAAATCTTTAGGGTATAGGACCCAAGATAAGTGAATGAAGTAAATATCAAGCTGAAAAAAGTGTCACGTGACATAAAACTCGGTTAAAGCGTGCATTGCACTGGCCTACCCGCGTCTTTATTGAGATGTTGCAATCACATCAACTCTTTGAAATGGATATTCGACAGAATTCTGAAGGGCCTTTATTTTCATCGGCAGAAAATATGCTGACTAAATGTGTTGTCAGACATATTGTCTGTTACATGTAGTGTTAGCCTAAAAAGAAGCAATTCGACCACCGCACTCGTATTTTATTTTTTGAATTTTTTGTAACAATTAGTATTTGTATTCAGAAAAATGTCAAAATCAATTAAATGACTGATGAATATCAACTTTTTATGTCTTGTGATGATGTCTTCTTCCAGATGGGACCTGAAATGGTGAGAAATAAAGTAGAATAAAACAAGTCTTTTTACAGGAAGATGACCCCGATACAGTTGATATCCGGGTGTCTCGATCAGAAAGGTAGGATTAATGTATACTATATCACTTAGACCCCATTTCCATAGATTTTAGATCGATCTATCCCTGTGGGGAGTCTCACTAGATTACTGTCAGCTTAGCCGGCTAAAGCGTCTGACCTGCCTACTAAAAGCTGTAAAGGGGCACTTAACTATGGTGCGCGCTCGGCTGCCTGCAATTTAGCGTGAACCCCCAGGGAGTTAGATCGATCTAAATCTTAATCTCTGGATCGATCTAAATCTCTGGCAATGCACCCTTAATTGCCCAAGGATGCGTTTCATTAACGCTCACTATGTTTTCATTGCTTCGTGTGACTTCAATCTAGGCTCATTACATTATACTTATAAACTTGGCCATCGGACATTTTGGGAGTTATTTTACATAATCTATTGCATATGTAAAACTTTCATCCAATATCTATTTATCTAGCAGTATCTTTATGTATCTATTTCAGTTATATTGATATAAACATGGCATACACCAAAAGCGGAAGTTACATATTCAAGACTTACCATTTATGGCAAATGCTATTTGTGGCCATTTACTTCAGTATAGGGTCGTACTTCAGAAACTTTAAATTGAAAGAATATTGAATAAATTTTGTGTGTTTGTAATATTAATAAATGGATTTCATTCTCGATAGACAATAATTCTTTTCAATCATATTGATATACATGTACCTCTTCGTTGGAGATAAATATGACTGGTTATTGTTTAGATAAAATCTATCTGAAATTCCTCCATCAAATGTACTTGTCTTTTACATTGTTTTAAATGTCTTTACTATAGGTCATTCTAGAAGTAATTAAAACTTTTAATCTGCTAACTGTACATATATCCAACTGTAAAATTAAAGAACAGTAGTTATAATATAAAAAAATCAAACAAACCTTAACGCATGTCTCAATGCATTCCTCTTTATCTAACTGTTCACTTTCTGAAATAGAAAACAAGTCAGACTTCAAGGAGTAATAACATACACCACTGCAACTTGAGGACGACTTGAACCAAGCCCCATATCTTAGACGATCAAACTAATTAATAACATTTCATACTTTAATAATTTCGTATATTTTTTTTCCTATTTACTCAAACGCCCAGCACCAGTTTCCATTTTATGGGAAATCTTACTGCTACTTCAGTTATTTGAGGATTATAGCACTGGTGGCTATCAACACTGTAAAGTGTTTAGCATTTAAACACATACATGTACAACACACGTTTACCACCTACACGCATTTAGAAATATGTGTAAAAGCTAAACACGTATAGCTTTTCAAGCTTCTCACAGAAGAAAATGCTAGACACGTTTGGCAGTGTTACACGTTTAGCTGTGTCTAGCTTCATCGGTATATGTTTCTATAAAAAAGTTTATCACAAGGCTAAGCACATTGGAAACGCACTTCCCCTGCTTAGTGCGTGGAGCTGCTAAACATAAGGAGCTGCTATGCGTGTGGAACTCCTAAACGAGTGGAGCTGCTGAACAACACGTTTAGCTTTTCAAGCTTCTCATAGAAGAAAATGCTTTTTTAAAACATGCTTAGCAGTGTTGCACTTTTAAGACCTAAAAGCTAAAAAAATACACCCCATACATATATAATGCGCCAAACGCGTCATACTGCTAAACACATTCAGGCTTAAAGCGTGTAACATGTTTAGGAGCTAAACGTGCTTAGGAGCTAAACGTATTGTAAAAAATTAGACAAAACAGGTGCTTAGAAATGGGTTTAGGGGCAAACACCGTTTTAACAGTGTATAAGACACTCACCATCGACATCCTCTTGAAAAATTGCATAAAACCACAGTGACCGAATTCTGTTGTCCAGTTTGACCAGTTGCCTCAACATTTCATTTTCTGAAACTTCATCATTGCCTGAAACCAAAATAGTAATGAGCGCTGCCAATTTGATTTATTTGTCTTTTGTTAGTTTTATAAATCATTCTATTATAGCACGTTGTCGATGTATGCTGTTCCGTTTTTTGTCTGATTCGATAGATAATAGGGAAAGTGGACAATTTTGCATTATATTCGCGTTGTCTTCCATATTTCATTTTCAACATTCACTTGGGTCACTTTCCCAATGTTACGCCTACATTTTCAAGAGTTAAAAAAAGTTTTAGAAATTCTCGTATACACTGTATCATGCTCAAAAGTTAAGTAGTATTTCACTGCCAATTTTTGCAAAAATTAAGCAAATGATTAGAGTAAAATTTGTACAGTAGCTGTGCACACCATTTGTTGTTAACTTGTGCCACTAGGCCATGACAAGAAACTGTCCAAATGCATAAGGGTGTCCCTTACCAAAAACAAGGTTTAGGTGTGGCACTTGAAGCACACGTATTGGGTGGCATCCTGTGTGTGTGTGTGTGTGTGTGTGTGTGTGTTTGACGGCATTTTTCCAAAAATTGCAAGAATACAACTTGTAGGAATTTTAGATGGTGTCGGAAAATAGCAGGAAAATAACAGGAAGCCATGCAGCTGTTAGACAGTAAAGATTAGCAGCAAATCCAGTATCAAGGCAGCCTGCATGGTCAGTTGCAAATGACGTCAAACGAGCCACGTGGGGTACATGCCTCGTTTTGGTCAAGTCAGGTTGACAAATGCAAGGGATACCAGGCAACTGATTTTAACAGGGAGGTACGTTTTGCTGAGAATACTTTTTACCTACATAGGTTCTATGTATGCTTTTTAAAAGTATCATTTGCCAATAAAATCATGAGCATTATCAAAATGCTTTTTAAAAGTATCATTTGCCAATAAAATCATGAGCATTATCAAAATGCATTGTTTGTTGTATATCCTTAAAAGAAATGTCCATCTCAAATAAAATATTTCAAGAACACGAAAGAAAATGTCACATCCTCAATGTAACACTCCCATTTCAAATGATGACGCGGTACCAGAATAATTCAAGATACTGTTGAACTTATGAGCATCAGTGTATGTCGTGATTTGTCAATAGCTTTTGTCAGCGCAGCGGAAATTTTGTCTTGACGAGTTTCAAATACTCCATAATGTGAACTATACAAAATACAGCCTGGTTGCAGGGGAACTAATACATGTAGAATAATTACATGTACATGTCATTTTTTTGGCATTATAAGAAACTTGCATGATACATTGTAATGTTATTCGTTTCGTGTTACAAATTTCAACTGATGCTGAACTGTCAATACTGTTCCGGATAAGTTATGCTGAAACTTACGGCCAGGATCCATCCGAGCCGATGTTACACGCCATTCCAGTTTATTGATGATACCATCGTTATTGATATCTGCGGTATCGCAGAGATACTGCCCAATCTCTCTCGTTGTTAGCTGTGGCAGTGTGCCATTTACAGGAGCACAATAACTGAAACAATGTAAATTAAAACTCAAATAAACTCTCTCTCCCTCTCTCTCCCTCTCTCTCTCTGAAGGGTGTTTGCAATAATTGTGTTGTGTTTATGGATGTGATTGAAGGATCAAAAGAAGTATTCATTCAAGTATCAGCAGAAATAGCTCATGGAATTTAATTAATCATACACTGTTATAAGTTGTTTTAACATATATAATATTAAAATATCTAACAGATTCACCCTATATATTGTCAATCGTTTATTGATAATTACGTTATCCTGAGTCAATGATCTCAATGATCTAATCCCTAAAACATGTATTTAAAAACATTCCAGTGGAACCAAGGACAACGACATGCAGAGGGAGAGGGGGGAGTGAGAGAGAGAGAGAGAGAGAGAGAGACGGTGGGAGGAGGTAGAGAGGGAATGAGAGAGGTTTCAGCTAATCACTAGTACTTACATGTTTGTCACCATGGAGACAACAGAAAAGGTCACTGTCATCACGTGGAACTTCATCTTCTGCAATGTGTGCTACTTTAATATAAATTATTCACCATAGTAACCCTGGCAAATAGATGAAAGTACAACGAGACAACTAAAATGTTTTCTGTGTATTTAGAATTGACTACTAGGTCTTTTAGTCGCCAATCGCACCTCAAAGGGACCGTGATCAAAGAAACAAACATAGAACCATCCTCCCTTTACCAATTTTCTATTAGCTACCTACTATTATTCAGTCTTATTCTAAAATCTAAATAAATTTCTAACTGAACAACAATTATGGGAAGATTTTAAAGCTATTGGTAATAATGTCTTTCAACACCTTTAGGGTACTGGTATATTATAGTCTGTCGAAATGGGAAAAAAAGTATTGACTCTAGATAATAGGAATCCTGTATACAGGCCATTTAACTTGTACGAATCATGGTGGAAGCAGGTATACAACGCATACGGTAACCTGATCTGCTTTATCACAAAAGATAAAAATCCCCAAATAATCATTTTTATGAATATGAGTCGAAGCGTTGCGAAGTTATGAATTGATAAAAATTGAAATATCGTTAAAATGAGCATGTTCTCTATGTAAAATGTTTCCGTGTAAAATACTTTTAAATGGTATCATTGGATAATTCAAAAGCACAGAAAAAGATGCTGAAGTATCAGCTGAGACATTCATGTCATCCTTACCAGACACTCGAGTCGTAATGTTACATTAACATTAGGTTATGTAAGCGTAACACATAGAAAAGCAAGTGATGTCAAATAGCAATAATCTCATTTCAAAACTTACTTGATTTATTTATGTAAACACCAGCGATGTCTATCAGTGGAAAACTCCCACTAAGATGTCAAACAGAAGTGCACCTCTTTTTCAAGGGCGTTTATAACGTTAGCTGTGCGATTATGCCATCAGCAGACATACGGGCAGTGACGCGTGAAAGTGACTTAGACTCCCGCGACAAGGTTATTTTAAGTTGCCTCCGGATTAAGCACGCTTGCTCCGCAAGGCGTCGCCTGTGGAGGTGGAGGCACAGCCCATATGGTTACTTTGGCAAAAGTGACAGGTACTTCCAAACATTTTCCATAACTGTGATTATTTCTCATTCTATTCACAAATTTGATATTTACGGCACTGGTAAATAAACAGTAAAAACATCACAGAACGTGTGTACACAAGATATTTCTACAAGTATCCTCATTCATCAGGCAGGAAACTTCAGAATGTACTACTAGTACTCAATAAATGTAAAATTTTGTACAAGGGAAAGTCTGCGTACTGAAACGGCAGTGTTACATTACACTGCCACCAACCTAAAACTGAATGGACACAGAGAGAACAAAGTGAGTCTCCCTCCCATTAAATAAATAAATAAATAAATAACAGATACTGTCATTCTTAATACTAAAAAAACAGTAACACCTTGCAGCCTTCACTGCCTAACTATTTGCGGACAATTTTCTAGACTCTTTTTACTTTTGATGAGGCATAGATGCAAGGATTGCAAGTGCATTGTGGAGGTCCCTTTTGTCATATATATATGTGCCACACACAATGTACATATCGCGATTCACATCACAGCGGCGGTTTAGGCCAATCTGTGTCAAACTTAGTAAGTAACCTGGTAACCTGGTAACTTATACGAACCATATGGTTGTCAGGCAACCAAACTTGACTTGTTTTTCTTACTACCTGTATAAGCTTGTAGATTTGTTTGTCTAATTTGCATCCTAATTACGGGTGAAAGTGATGTAGACTCCTCTATGTAAGGAATACGATTCCTCCAGATATTCAATGCTCTTCCTTATAGTTGTGTGTAACTGCTTTCCAACTTCTGTTTTGGTCCAAGCTTCAGGTTTTGTAGCAAATGCTCTCTACTCAAGCCTATTGTAAGGCCTTTATTTCAAGAATGTGCTCAAGGTTAGGGTTCCAAAATTTCTGAATTGCTTTCTTCTCAGGTTTGAACCGTCCTGTGTTTCAAATATTTAGGTATAGGACCCAAGATATGTGAATGAAGTAAGCTTAATAAAGTGTGACATAAAATTCGGGTAAAGTTTACATTGCAATGGCTTAGCCACGTATTTATTGAGGTGTCGTTGCAATCACATTAACACTCTGAAATGAAAAGGATATTTGGCAGAATTCTGTCATTTTCATCTGCAGAAATTATGCTGACTAAATGTGTTGTCGGACACATTGTTTGTTAGCCTTGGGTTCAGAATATTTCAAATATCTAAAAAGAAGCAATTTAAGCACCACACCCGTACTTTATTTCGTGATTTCAAAAATGTCAAATTCAATTAAATGAGTAATAAATATATATTTTTCATCTTGTGATGATGTCTTTTTCCAGATGGGATCTGGAATGGACAGAAATAAAGTAGCATGAAATAAGTCTATTTTTCACAAGAAGACGACCCCGATATATTTGATATCCGGATGTCTCGGTCAGAAAGATAGGATTAACGAATACCATATCACTTAATTCCCCAAAGATTCGTTTCATTAACGCTCACTATGTTTTCATTGCTTGGTATGAATTCAATCCAGGCTTATTACATTATACTTATAAACTTGGTCATTGAACATTTGGGGAGTCCTTTCTTCCCATATTTTACATAAGCTATTGCATAGGTAAAATTTCAACCAATATCTTTTTCTCTTATCTATGTCTATCTATCTCAATTATATTGGTACAAACATGCCCATACACCAAACACGGATATCACATATTCAAAACTTACCATTTATGGCAAATACTGTTTGCGGCCATTTACTTCAGCGTAGGGTCGTACTTCTTCAAAAACTTCAAATTGAAAGAATATTGAATGAATTTTATGTGTTTGTTATATAAATAAATGGATTTCATTTACAATGGACAATAATGTTTTCAAACACTTTAATATACTTCTTCGTTGGAGATAAATATGTCTGGTAATTGTTTATATCTTCCCCAAATGTTCTTGTCTTTTACATTTTTCAAAAATGTTTTTGTTATGCCTTTTGGTTAAGTCAGGAATTTAATTCCTACTATATGCCATTCGAGATGTAATTAAAACCTTTTAATAAAGCTATTTGTACATATATCCAACTGTAAAATAAAAAGAAATGGTATTGTTTTTATAGTAGTTATTACATCAAATAATCAAGCAGACCTTTACACATGCCTCAATGCATTCCTCTTTCTCTAACTGTCCATTTTCTGAAATAGAATACAAGCCAGGCTCAAGGTGTAATAACATAGACCACCACAACTTAAGGACGACTTGAACCAAGCAACGTCTTAAGCGATCAAACTAAAACATGAATACAATTTAATACTTTTCTAAATGCATATATATTTGGTCTTATTTACTTAAACGCGCAGCACCAACTGCCAGTTTAAGTAAATTGTCCTACTGCTACATCAGTTATTTAAGGAATACAGCACTGGTGGCTATTTATAAGACACTCACCATCGACATCCAGAGTCAATATCTGGGATCCGTCGTGCTCTGTCAAAACTCCATCCTTGTCCACATCACTTTCTCGAAAAATTGCATGAGACCACAGAGGCCGAATTCTGTCGTCCAGTTTGACTAGCATCCTCAACATTTCACTTTCTGTAACTTCATCATTGTCTGAAACCGACACAGTAATGAACACTGTCAATTTATTTGTCTTTTATTTGAATTAAAGGTTTTTCTATTAGAGCACGTTGTCGATGTATGCTGTTCCATTTTATGTCTGATTCTATCGAGAATCGAGAACGTGAACAAGTTTTGCATTATATCTTACTGTCTTCCACATCTCATATTTAACATTCACTGGGGGAACTTTTTCAATATTTAGCCTACATTTTCAGGAGTTCAAAAAGTTTTGGAAATTCTCGTATACACTGCATCATGCCACAAGGTTAAGTACTGTAGTATTTCATTTTCAATTTTTGCAAAAAATAAAGCAAATACTAGAAGTAAAATATGTACAGTAGCTGTGCATGCCATTTTTTTAAACTTGCACCACTAGGCCAAGACAAGAAACTGTCCAAATGAGTATAAAATGCATAGGGGTATGTATATTGCACTTTTCCCAAAAATGCAAGAAGACAGCTAGTAGGATTTTAGATGGTGTCAGAAAATAACAGGAAGCCATCAAGCTGGACTTTGTACATGCATCTGTCATGCAGAAGAGAATTGCAGAAAAACCCTGGTATCAAGGCAGCCTGCCCAGTTACAAAATGACTTCAAATGAACCATGTTAGGTACAGGCCTCGTTTTGGTCAAATCAGGTTGAAAAATGCAAGGGGTTTGAAACTTACGGTCAGTATCCATTCTGGCAGATGTAGCAATCCATTCCAGCTTAGTGATGATACCATCGTTATTGGTGTCCGCGGCATCACAAAGATACTTTCCAATCTCTCTCGCTGTTAGCTGAGGCTTTGTGCCATTGACAGGAACACAATAACTAAAATTCAAATAATCTTTCAGAACCTAGGGTATTTGCAATTATCGTGTTGTGTTCATGAATGTGAATGGGGGGTGGGGGGGAGGGTCAAAAGAAGTATCCATAAATGATAAACAGAAATAGCTTTTGAGTTTTAATTCATCATTCACTGTTATAAGCTGTTAATTTATAACAGGTTCACCTTAATCATTAATTGTTAACTATTTAATGATTATTAAGTTATCCTGAGCCAGTGATCTAGTCCCTAAAAAGGATTCCAGTGAAGCCAAGGACAACGACATGTAGAGAGAGAGAGAGAGAGAGAGAGAGAGAGAGAGAGAGGGAGGGAGGGAGAGGGCTTAGCATGTTCATTAATACTTACATGTTTGTCACCATTGAAACAACAGACCAGATCACTGTCATCACGTGGAACCTCATCCTCCAGCTGCAATGTGTGCTACTTTTATATATTTTATTCATAGTAACCCTGGCCAAAAGATGAAAGTACAATGAGACAACTAAAATGTCTCCTGTGTATTTAGAATTAACTACTTGGTCATTTAATCGCCAATCGCACCTCAAAGGGACCGTGATCAAAGAAATAAATATACATAAAACCATCCTTCTTTACCAATATTCTAATAGCTACCTACTATTATTCTGTTTTATTCTAAAATCTAAATAAAACAACAATTTTGGGAAGATTATTATGCTATAAGTAATAATGTCTTTCCACACCTTTAGGGAACCGGTATATTATAGTTTGTCGAAATGGAAAAAAGTATTGACTCTAGAGACCATTTAACTTATACGAATCATGGTGGAAGCAGGCACACAACATATACGGTAACCTGGTCTGATTTATCACAAAGATAAAAATCACCGAATTATTATTTTTTTCTGATTATGAGTCGAAGCATTACAAATTTATGAATTGATACAAATTGAAATATCCTTGAAATAAGCATATACTCTTTTTAAAATAGTTCTATGTAAAATGCTTTGGTATCATTGGATATAATTCAAAAACATAGAAAAGGATGCTGAAGTATCAACTGAGGCATTCAAATGATCCTCACCTGACACACGAGTTGTAATGTTACACTGCCATTAGGTAATGTAAACGTAACAATTAGGAGATCAAGCGATGTCAAATAGCAATAATGTCATGTCAAAACTTACTTGAAATGAATGATAACACCAGCGATGTCTATCAGTAGAAATCTCCCACTAAAATGTCAAACGGAAGCGTTTCTCTTTTTCAAGGGCATATATTGTGCTAGCTGTGTGGTTGTCATCAGCAGACATACGGGTATTTTCGCGTACGTGAGAGTGAGCGGAACCTCTTCTACAGCTCGCCAATGAAATATGTGAAAAGTAGACAACAGTTTCTTACTTGAAAGAGGGAGGTCAGTTTAGATTTAAAGCGACTTTGTTGCTGATATAAAAAACTGTCATGTTGTCATGCGAAAACAGGGTAAAAAAATATCTGAAAATGTGAAAAACATCGGTAAGGTTACATTAGGAGGTTATTACTGTCTACATGGACAGTTAACAGACGCCTGACCCGTATCTTACCCCAATAACATTCTACTAGCACGTATTCGCGCCAAGGTGAATCAATATATCGACGATGGATCCAAAGTCATCTTGGGATTGGTTATTTATAATAAGGAATGAAGCAGGAGAGGATGGGAAAGTACCCCAATGTCAACTAATTTGGCAAGAATTTGATTTGCCCAGTTTATTCCAACTAGTCACAAAATAGCAGAGCCGTAGAATCGATTTAGACGTGAATTCGACTTATTTTTGCGTAATGCTTCTGTTTATCTCCTTGCGCTTCCCTACCCGCATGACTTTATTAGGCTGTCGTTTCATAAAAAAATTGATATATTTTTCTTTACATTCGCCATTATGCACCGGCACAAAACTATTCCAGGAAAACTAGCTGCCAGGCAGCCAAGCTTGACTTGTTTTTCTTACTACCTGTATAAGCTTGTGATTTATTCGTCTAGTTTGCATCCTAAATACGGGTGACAGTGATGTGGACTCCTCTGTATAAAGAATACGATTCCTCCAGCTGACATACCATGTTCTTCCTTATAGTAGTATGTGACTGCTTTCCAACTTCTGTTTGGGTCCAAGCTTCAGGTATTTGTAGCAAAATGTTCTCTACTCAAGCTAACTGAAAGGCCTTTATTTCAAGAGCGCTCTCAAGGTTGTTTTCTTCCCAGATTTGAACTGTTCTGTGTGTCAAATCTTGAGAAGTATCGGGGTTTAGGATCATTTAACGTTCACTTACGGTTCACAATCTATTCTAGAACATTTGATGTATTTTTTAGTTCTAATGTTGTATTGTAGTGAATGTCACATTCCGAGTATTGTTTTTGGAAGTCCTTCAGAATGTCCTAGAACAGGTTAAGAACATTTTTATTAAAAGAGAAAAACATTAAGTTCTAGGACAGATTGAAAACCGCAAGTGAGCGTTAAATTAGACAAATTTTCGAAGGGGAGATTCCTGAATTTAGTAATTTAGGAAATTTAAATTTAAAAAAGTGTCACGTGATATAAAACTCGGTTAGGAATTGGAGATGGTTTAGATTTAAGTGTTACATGGAAATAATTCTAATGTTGCGGTTTTGAAAGTGTCTGAAGTGAATTTTCATGTGGAGTTACAAGAACAGAAATGCACTTCATTTATCAACTCATTTTTGAAAGATTTAACCTATTAAAAAAAGAAATAATCACACAACATTTCACTTTTTTAGGGTTACGGTCAAGTCTTAATCCACAAGATAAAGCACAAGCACACCTTGGCTCAGAACTACTTCTCTCGTCTGCCGGGAATGGCGGAGTACATGCACCAGAAGTCTAAAACAACTCCAGCCAATCAGGACTTCTCGTCTCCGTCCATTGCGGGAAAAGCAGTGCCAAAACAGATGATAAAAGCTTAAACTACCAGTCATTTATTATTTCAGTATGGGGAATGGTATGTTAGTTTGGGCTTGTGGATAAAGAAAGTTTTTCATTGAACTTATTGTTGGAGTGTCATAATAAATTATTCCGCACCAATCGGACAAATTATACTACGTTAGAGCCATCAAAATATGTTACAAATACTTTACGGGCATATTTTTTATAAAACAAACAAAAACACGTGGGTTGTTATGGCAAGTTCAACGATGCCCATGTGATATTATCTAGTTCCGTTGGGATCGGGTGTATAATATATATAAATGAGAATATTTTGAATACGGTTATGCCAAGCGATTTGCAAAAATAAGTTGTGCGATTTGTATATAAATGCTTGTAAATAAATAATATTGTATCTGATCTTTGAGTATTGGTTTTATATATTTTGATTTGATACGCGAGTATAAAAAGTAACAGAAACCGCGACGCCAAAAAAGGTTGGGACAATTACTAGCGTACTATCATTGCAATACGTGTTGCCAGGTAATATAAAAAGACAATATTGAAATACTAAAAATTCGTTTGGAAGTAGTGTGACATTTTATTTGCTTTATGGCATATTTTGAAGTGAAAATACCACAGAAGTATCACACAAAATTTTAAAATCACCAAAATGAAATGTCTTTCACATGTTTCATCCTTTAACCAACGCCAACTGAAATGGAAAAAAGTAAACGAAATCAGACATGTCTATATAGTTTATATTTCCCGATCGACGATCCCAATATTACTGCAGTTTTTCTCTCTCAAAAGGTTAACATTCAATAATCTTCTGACATATTGCTAAGTGTTACTTTATTACAGGTAGTTTGCACTATTTCTCTAAATGGATATTTAAGAGGGGGTCACCTAGCTTAGACACGATTTCACCGCATGAGTAATTATTCTAATACATATGCAATCATATATTGCAGGCCTGCCTATATCCCATGTATTGTATAGTAAAACTTACCATTTATGATAAAGATTGGGGGTAGCTTTTTACTCCAGCTTGGGGTCAAACTCTTTCAAAATCTGCAATTGATTGAATATTGTATGCGCAACATCAAATACGAATAGATTTTATGGTAAGAAATGACTGATGGTTATTAAGAGAAAAATTATCTGATTTTTTTCATTCAGACGTTTCTAAACTTATTGAAAGTGAGGTTCGTAATTCCTACTGCAGGTATCTTCAAGAACCGATAAGCACATTTTACTAATCGCGGTGTTCAATATAAATTTTCTAAAACAAAAAATTGTTATAATGTGCAGAGTAATGAAAGCATCGTTATAATCAAATTTACCTTTGCACATGCTTCAATACATTCCTCCTTGCTTACGATCCCATCACCTGAATTAGAAAACAATCACTTTGTCACGTTGCTTTTGCAACCCAGAGTTTGTGCAGCATAAGGCATCGACTCTGTTTCAGAAAAATAGGAATTTAAGATTAGCTCTTCATTTGAAAGAATATAAAGCACACTAACCATCGGTATCTAGCGTGTCTAAAAGTTCTACATCGACAGTAGTCAAAACACCATCGTCATTGAAATCATCCAGTTCAAAGAATGCACGGATCCACTTTGGTTTTAGACCATAATCAGCTTGAATTAAAAAGCTCATATATTCGCCTAGCGTGACTTCATCATCATCTGGAAAAAACGAATATATATATATATATATATATATATATATATATATATATATATATATATATATATATATATATATTATTTTATGATATGTGTACGGGTGTACTGCATAAAATATGTCTGCATTCAAAACCGCGGAATAACAAATACCGGTATGGCTGGCCCACTAGAATGCTTGTTATTTAATACTTGGAGCTGTTAGTCTGCTGTTGTGAATGTGGCCTTTTATTCGGAACAAAATGGACAGTTCTGCAGAGAGCATACTTTCTTTTTATCTAAATGACTATATGGGCGCTTTCAAAAGTACCATCTTGCCAATTAAGTTATTTGGATTATCAAAATGCATTGTGTGGTTTATTTTCTGTCCACCTTTGATAAAATATTAATAAAACAAGAATAAAATTTTTACATTCCCACTGACATTTTAAATAATGACATGATACCAGAAAAATTCAAGGTATTGTTCAACTTATGAGCATCTGCGCATGTTGTAATTTGTTAACAGCTTTTGTCAACGCGGTGAACATGGTATTTTTGAATGTAGAAAATTACGCATCAATTCCCTTGCATTATAAAAGACTTATTTGATAAACTGGAATAGTATCCATTCCATGTTTATAATTCCAGCTTATGCTGAAGTAGATGTTCCGGATAAGTAATGATTGGACTTACGGTTAATATCTATAATGGCCAATGTAGCCCCCCATTCCAGTTTAGTGAAGATACCATCGTTATTGGTGTCCGTAGCATTGCAGATGAACTCTCCAAGCTCCCACGCTGTCAGCTGTGGCTTCGCGTCATTCACAGGAGCACAATAACTAAAACAATGTCAATTTTAATTCTAAAAAATCCAGATAATCTTTCTGAAGAGTATTTGCAATTATTGTGTTGTGTTCAGAGATGTAAATGGGAAGCCACAAGAAGTATATTCTTAAAAAGTATCAGCAGAAATAGTTTATGAGTTTTAATTAATCATACGCTGTTATGAGCTATTAATATATAATAGATTCACCCTCATTATTAGTTGTTAACCGTTAATTGATTATTAAGTTATCCTGAGTCAATGATCAAAGTCCTAAAAGAGTTAAAAACGGATAAAAGCGAAGCCAAGACCGACGACAGACAGAGAGAGAGAGAGAAAGAGAGGGGGGGCTACTTACATTTTTGTCACCATGGAGACAACAGACAAGATCAATGTTATCACGTGGAACTTCATCTTCTTGCAGCAGTGTGTGCTACATTAATATATAATTTATTCACATTAATCCAGTAGATGAAAGCACAACGTGACAACTAAATGCCTATTTTGATTTTACTCTAACACGTCATGGATTAAGGTTGCAAACTGCACCTCAAAGGGACCGTGTTTAACGATACAATAATCGAATCAGTCTCGCTTTAGCAATGTTCTTTTAGCTACATGTACCTACCATTATTTTCTGATTCTAAAATCTAAATAAATGTCTAACTGAACAACAATTATGGGAAGATTTAAAGCTATTGGTTATAACGTCATTTCACACCTTAAGGGTACTGGCATATTACAGTCTGTAAAAATGGAAAAAGTTTGACTTTGGACAATACGAATCCTTTATACATACTGGCCACGTAACGTATAAGTAACAAAGTGGAAGCAGGAACACAACGTATATTGTAACCTGGTCTGCTTTATCACAAACGATAAAAAAAACCCGAATTATCTTTTTTCATGAAAATTAGTCGAAGCATTATAATTTTGTGAATTGATACAAATTGAAATATTGAAATGATCATTAACTGTATGTAAAATGGTTTAAGAATCGGAGTCACATGATGTTTCTGATCCAACGAGCTGGTATCACTCAAAATCCTTTAAACAGAATGCAGAAGAATCAGCTTAGGTATTACGTTTTGCAAACATAACAACTAGAAAATCAAGCGATGTCAAATAGCAATAATGTCATCTGAAAACTTACTTGATAAGATTGTTTACACCAGCGATGTTTATCAGTAGAGATCTCCGACTGAAATGACAAACTTTTCTTTCAAGGCAGTTTATTACGATAGCTATGCTATAGTCACGTCATCAGCAGACATACTGGTATTTTCGGTTGAAATTAAATTGGAACCCCTTCTACAGCTCTCCTGACATCTCTTCTATGATAATGTACGTGTTACGCGTGTAAGACAGACAAGATCGTGTCCACCTTGAAACAGGGAGATCAAATTTGATTCAAAGTGAATTTTTTCCTCACGTCATATCAAAGAAAAACCTGTTTTAATTATAAAAAACATATACAGGAAATTGTGAAAAATATCGGTTAAGATCACGTAGGGAAGCCGTTAATGTCTGCCTCGACGGCTGCTGGCATCACTTTCACGTGTTAATAAATACCACGAACACAAAAGGACTGGATAATAGACAAATCAGCAACAACCATTTCATATACCAGTAAAACGTTTTTTCACAATTATTATTGAAATGAACATTTGTCACTAAACGAATAGTTCTTCAATTGTCAAAAGCTATGGAAAAATTAATGAGATTTGCCAGTATTTCTTCTCATCACAGTGTGATCTAACCAATGAAGGCTGTGAAAGATATTTAAATACTTATAAGTACTTTTAATAAATTTAAAGAATTCTGATTACAGCCCCAAAGCTGCTGGGTGTGCATGTACTGGAAACTTAGCCTGTTGAACTCTCGAGTATAGCCAACTTAAGGTAACATATTAGTTGTCTGAACAATACGCAGCATATGCACTTTGACATAGTCTTTTTGTAAACTTAGTTGCCTTAGTAGCTAACACGTAACAAGATTGATGAGTCCATTGTAAAAAAAAGGTTTTATTCTACTCCTACCAAAACACATTTGTTCCATGAACTGACAGCAATATACGTATTTCCGTCAGTGTCACTAAATGGATAACAGAGTTATAGCAGACTTATATTATCGACTTAGTTTCAACCTTATCTTGGAAAAGCCCTTTCATATGACACAGAAATTCAATTGTCAACACAATCGTATCCACGCATCCCTGTCCATACATCCAAATAAGTTAGACGTTCATCTGAAAATGACATACCTTAATTAAGATTTGATTTCTGACATTACAACTTCCTAACATACTATCAAAGAAGAAATATACCCTGAGACATGTATCAGTCTTAAGGGCGGCTAGAATAAGTGTGGTGTTACAGCCCAGCGATGTCAATAATGAATATATGCACTGCAATCCAGGATGGCCAGCACATACTACAAATCGCATATTTTCCTAAACAGAAGGTGGACCAGTGTCATTCCAGTATGACCTTCATATATTCTTGGGTCTCCCTCCTCCTATTGGACAAAGAAAATGTGAACTCCCGTCACAGACTGTCACTTTCATTGGATTGACAATATGAAAACCATCAATGATTTCCAATCCGTATTTTACCAGGCTCTCCCTGATAATTTCGTTGACCGCTGCCACCATGTAATCATTCGCTGCCACCATGTAATCTTGTTTTATAAATTCGTAGGCACCCTTAAGTTCTATATCATGTATACCTAAAATCAATACAACTACATCATCGCTTGAAGCAGGCATTTTATGAAATCTGGACGAGAGTGAACGTATTGCTTTCAGCCAGTCGGGAGTCCAGGGAGTCCACTTAAATATATAATTGCTCAGACCTATAAGCTCCTTTCGGTCCGGTACAGAGTGCTTGGGATATATGCTAGGAGTAATGTGGTCTGTGTAAGGAGGAAAATGATGATATTTCGACAACAATTGATTCAAGTAATTACTAAGATATCTGAGATGTGAATCTCCGAGGATTCTGAAAGTGGTTTTCCTATTGTAACATTTCCAAAGGTCTGCCTCAGTCACGAACTCGAAAATACACCCGCTTTTAGTTCCCCAATTCCAGTCTCCTCGAATATCCCACCAACGTCCATTCATGTATTCCTCAATTTTTGTCTTATTACAATTTTTACCCTGTGTTATTATCCCCGCACTTTTGGGAGAAAAGTCGGGGATCATGTCATCCCGCCCGTCCGTGCGTCCGTGCGTCTGTGTGTTAGTAATTTCCGCTATCTCCTCCTAGACTATTGCATATGAGAATATTTTGAAAACGGTTATGCCAAGCGATTTGCAAAAATAAGTTGTGCGATTTGTATATAAATGCTTGTAAATTAATTATATTGTATCTGATCTTTGAGTGTTGGTTTTATAAATTTTGATTTGATACGTACGCGAGTGTAAAAGTAACAGAAACCGCGACGCCGATAAAGGTTGGGACAATTACTCTCATTGCAATTCGTGTTGCCAGGTAATATAAAAAGGCAATATTGAAATACTAAAAAAATCATTCTATTTGCTTTATGGCATATTATGAAGTGAAAATACCACAATAGTATCACACAAAATTTTAAAATCATCAAAATGAAATGTCTTTCACATGTTTCATCCTTTAACCAACGCCAACTGAAATGGAAAAAAGTAAACGAAATGAGACATGTCTATATAGTTTACATTTCCCAACCGACGATGCCAATATTACTGCAGTTTTTCTCTCTCAAAAGGTTAACATTCAATAACCTTCTGACATGTTGCTAAGTATAACTTTATTTAAGGTCACTTGCACTATTTGTCTTAATGGGTATTTAACAAGGGATCGCCTTGCTGAGATTCGATTTTACCTGACATACGGCATGAGTACTTACTCTAATATATATGTAAGCATATATTGCATGTCTGCCTATATCCCATGTATTGTATGGTAAAACTTACCATTTAACATAAAGATTGAGAGTAGCTTTTTACTCCAGCTTGGGGTCAAACTCTTTCAAAATCTGCAATTAATTGAATATTGTATGCGCAACATCAAATACGAATAGATTTTATGGTAAGAAATGGCTGGTGGTTGTTAAGAAAAAATTATCTGATTTTTTTTTCATTTAGACGTTTCTAATCATTTTTAAAGTGAGGTATGTAATTCCTACTGCATGTACCTTCAAGAACAAATAAGCACATTTTACTAATCGAGGTGTTCAATATGAATTTTCTCAAACAAAAATTGTTATAATGTGCAGAATAACGAAAGTATCGTTATAACCAAGTTTACCTTTGCACATGCTTCAATACATTCCTCCATGCTTACGACCCCATCACCTGAATTAGAAAATAAAAACTTTGTCACGTTACTTTTGCAACCCAGAGTTTGTGCAACATAAAGCATCGACTCTGTTTCAGAAAAATATGAATTTAAGGTTTACTCTTCATTCGAAAGAATAAAGCACACTAACCATCGGTATCTAGTGTGATTAAAAGGTCTACGTCGGCCGTGGTCACAACACCATCGTCATTGAAATCATCCATTTCAAATAATGCACGGATCCACTTTGCTTTAAGTCCATAATCGGTTTTCATGAAATATCTCACATATTCCTCTAGAGTGACTTCATCATTATCTGGAAAAATTATATATTTAAATGACTCGCATTGTTTTATGATATGTGTTCGGGTGTACTACATAGGATATGGATGCATTCAAAACCGCGGAATAACAGATACCGGTATGGCTGGCCCTCTTGAATGCTTGTTATTTAATCCGCAGATCTTTTAGTCTGCTGTTGCGAATGCGGCCTTTTTTTTTCGACAGTTTGGACAATTTTGCTCAGAGCATACTTTTTTTATCTTAATAACTATGGACGCTTTCAAAAGTATCATTTTACCGATTAAGTTATTTGCATTATCAAAATGCATTATGCGGTGTATTTTCTGTCCACCTTTAATAGAATGTTTATAAAACAAGAATAAAATTTTTACATTCCCACTGATATTTCAAATAATGATGTGATGCCAGAAAAAATCAAGGTATTATTCAGCTTATGAGCATCTGCGTATGTTGTATGTGTTAACAGCTTTTGTCAACGCAGGAAACATTTTGTCTCGACGAGTTTCAAATTGTTCATATTATTAACTATACAAACGGTACCATGGTTGGTATTTGTAAATGTAGAAAATTACGTATCAATTTTCTTGCATTATAAAATACTTATATGATAAAGTGGAATGGTATCCATTCCGTGTTCCTAATTCCAGCTTATGCTGAACTACATGTTCCGGATAAGTAATGATGAGACTTACGGTTAACATCTACAATGGCCAATGCAGCCCCCCATTCCACTTTAGTCAAAATACCATCGTTATTGATGTCCGTGCCATTGCAGATTAACTCTCCAAGCTCCCATGCTGTCAGCTGTGGCTTTGCGTCATTCATAAGAGCACAATAACTAAAACAATGTCAATTAATGTCCAGATAATCTTTATGAAGAGTATTTGCAATTATTGTGTTGTGTTCAGAGATGTGAAGCCACAAGAAGTATTCTTAAGACGTATCAGCAGAAATAGCTTATGAGTTTTACTTAATCACACGCTGTTATAAGCTGTTAATATAGAACAGATTCACCCTAATAATTAGTTGTTAACCGTTAATTAATTATTAAGTGATCCTGAGTCAATAATCAAAGTCCTAAAAGAGTTAAAAATGGATTCAAGCGAAGCCCAGACCGACGACAGAGAGAGAGAGAGAGAGAGTGGGAGGGAGAAGTGGAGGGAGAGCGAGGTTTAAGCAGTAGTAGGCCCTACTTACATGTATGGCGACATGGATACAACAGACAAGATCACTGTTATCACGTGGAACTTCATCTTCTATCTGCAATGTGTGATACTTTTAAATAATTTATTTACATTAATCCAGTAGATGAAAGCACGAGACAACTAAATGCGTATTTAGATTTTATTCTAACATGGCATGGCGCAAGGTCAAAAATTACACCTCAAAGGGACCCTGCTTAATGATACAATTATCGTATCAGTCTCGCTTTAGCAATGTTCTTTTAGCTACATGTACCTACTATTATTCTGTCTGATTCTAAAATCTAAATAAATGTCTAACTGAACAACAATCATGGGAAGATTTAAAGCTATTGGTTATAATGTCATTTCACACCCTTAGGGTACTGGCATATTACAGTCTGTAAAAATGGAAAAAGTTTCACTTTGGACAATACGAATCCTTTATACATACTGGACACGTAACGTATAAGTAACTAAGTGAAAGCAGATAAAGTATGGCGTAACCTGGTCTGCTTTATCACGAACGATAAAATGAAAATTAATCAAAGCATTGTAATTTTGTGAATTGATACAAATTGAATTTTCATTGAAATGGTCATTAACTGTATGTAAAATGGTATAAGAATCGGGTCACATGATATTTCTGATCCAACGATCTGGTATCACTCAAAATCCTTTAAACAGAAAGCCGAAGAATCAGCTTACATGTAGGTATTACGTTTTGCAAACATAACAACTAGAAAATCAAGCGATGTCAAATAGCAATAATTTCATTTCAAAACTTACTTGATATTATTGTTTTCACCAGCGATGTCTATCAGTAGAGAGCTCCGACTGAAATGATAAACTTTCTTTCAAGGGAGTTTGTTACGATAGGTATGCGACAGTCACGTCATCAGCAGACATACGGGTATTTTCGAAGTATTCATTGACGGGTAAAATTAAATCGGGACCCCTTCTACATCTCTCCTCTCTCTTATGATAATGTCCGCCTTGAAACAGGGAGATCAAATTTGATTCAAATTGAAAATTTTCCTCTCATATGCGTGAAAAACCTGTTTTAATAAAAAAAGCATATACACGATCACGTAGGGAAGCCATTTGTATCTGCCTCGACGGCTGCCGGCATCATTTTCACGTGTAAATAGATACCGTGAACACAAAAGGACCGGATAATAGACGAATCAGCAACAATCAAAACGCAGTATTTTCATATCCCAGTAAAACGTTTTTTCACAATTATTATTGAAATGTATATTTGTCACTAAACGTATAGTTTTTCATTTGTCAAATGCTATGGAAAAATTAATGAGATTTGCCAGTATTTCTTCCTTTCACAGTCTGATCTAACCAGGGAAATGAAGGCTGTGAAAGATATTTTAAGTACTTTTAATACATTTAAGAATTATGATCACATCCCCAAAGCTGCTGGGCATATATATACTGAAAACTGGAAATATGTACTGTTGAACTCTCTCAACTTAAGGTAACACATTAGTTGTCTAAACAATACGCAGCATATGCACTTTGACATAGTCTTTTTTGTAAACTTAGTTGTCTTAGTAGCTACAATGTAACATGTAACAAAACTGATGAGTCCATTGCAAAAATAAATTTTATTTTACTCCCACCAAAACACATTGGTTCCAACTGACTAAAATATACGTGCCGGGTACTACCGTCAGTGTCACTAAATGGATAAAAGAGTTATAGCAGACTTATATTATCGACTTAGTTTCAACCTTATCTTGGAAACACCCCTTTATATGACACAAAAGTCAATTGTCAAAGCAATCTCATCCACGCATCCTTGTCCGTGTATCCATATAAGTTATATAGTCGTTCATCTGAAAATGACATAATTAAGATTTGATTTGGTTACTGACATTACAAATTCCTAACATAATTTGATGGTATAGCAGAGCGATGTCAATAATGAATATATACACTGCAATCCTGGATGGCCAACACATGCTACAAATCGCATATTTTCCTTAACAGAAGGTGGGCCAGTGTCATTCCTGTATGGCCTTCATATATTCTTGGATCTCCTCCTATTGGACAAAGAAAATGTGAACTCTCGTCACAGGTTGCTACTTTCATCGGATTGACAATATAAAAAACATCAATGATTTCCACTCCATATTTTACCAGGCTCTCCCTGATGATTTCGTTGACCGCTGCCACCATGTAATCATTCGCATTTCTGGCCAAAATCCTAGGCTGAATATTGACATATATTAGATGAATTTTTGCAGTGTTGGGATTTTTCCGAACTCTGCCCAGGAGGTCTACAAAACGACCAAAATCTTGTTTTATAAATTCGTAGGCACCCTTAAGTTCTATATCATGTATACCTAAATCCATTACAACTACATCATCGCTTGTAGCAGGCCTTTTGTGAAATCTGGACGAGAGTGAACGTATTGCTTTCAGCCAGTCGGGAGTCCACGGAGTCCATTTAAATATATAATTGCTCAGACCTATAAGCTCCTTTCGGTCCGCTACAGAGTGCTTGGGATATATGCTAGGAGTAATGTGGTCTGTATAAGGAAGAATATAATGATATTTTGACAACAATTGATTCAAGTAATTACTAAGATATCTGAGATGTGAATCTCCGAGGATTCTGAAAGTGGTTTTCCTATTGTAACATTTCCAAAGGTCTGCCTCAGTCACGAACTCGAAAATACATCCGCTTTTAGTTCCCCATTTCCAGTCTCCTCGAATATTCCACCAGCGTCCATTCATGTACTCCTCAATTTTTGTCTTATTACAATTTTTACCTTCTGTTATTGCGTTCTGTGAACCTGATTTTTCGTGGGAAGCATAATCAAAGGAATGGATCTTTCTGTGGATTCTACAGGGGTTATTTTGTTTTGATCCAGCATCGTGGTGTCTGAATGCATCAAAACCCGTGTAGTCTAAGTATATCGCACCCTGTATACCAGAATGAACATCACAATATCCGAGGTAGGTTCCATTAAAAAATCTCTCACAGGGCACACCATGGATTCATTTCCTGTCAGCTCAATTCGGAAATTACTTCCCCCGGATGAGAAGGTGGCATTTTTCACCGAGTCCCCTTTTCTTTCTTCTATAATGATGTACATATTATGAGAGTTATATATCACCACGTTGACATTGTACGTGTAATTCGCACTCTTGTTTGTGAAGCAATGTTTACTTTCAGCATCAGGGTTAAAACTTGACCAAGCACGTTCTAGTTGTTCCTTCTCAGGAATACCATTTCTAACCCAGTCGTTTCCACCCAAAAGACCATTTTCTCGATATTCAATAATCAGTCCATGTTTGAATTGATCCACGTCTAGTTCCCTGGTTTTCCTTCAAGGCGGGACCCTCTGCAATAAGTTCTGGATAGTAATACTTCTGTTGGGAGATTCCGACCAAATCAATGAAATATATATTAAAATGCTAACGATCGCAAGACCCACACCGCGAAATGTACGTCGAGTCAAAGATTCCTTTCCCATCTTTTTGGAATTATGGCGTTTGTCAGTGTTGCCGACGCGGCTTTGTGTTCAGGTATTTATATGTTGCATGTGATGTAGGCGTAGTATCTCTTTGCTCAATTAGTGTTCTTAGTTCGCGTGATAAGCTGCGTCCGTTGCGAGCAAGAGCTTCGTATTGGTCAATTCAATGAATACTGTTCGCGATTCTTTTCTATTGTGTGGTTTGCTTAGTTTCCGGAGTGATGACTTCCTGTTATTTGCTATATGTCGTCACCCACCGGTTGTCTTCTTGCCTTTCTTGGAAAAGACTGGTGAATGTGTCCATGGAGACACCCCAAAACTTCTGAGTCATATAGAACACGAAAACTATGTGTTGTAGCAAAAATAAAGACGTGAAAGGGATTCGTAACGTGTATGAAAAATCGACATCCACCGTAAATCATGACAATTTCATAACCGCATGTCGTCATATTTATTGGAACACATTAAAATATGGGAATTACTTATAACAGAAGTTGTTTTCTACCGGCAGCACAGAATTATCCTGATGACAGGCGTATGTCTTTTACTTATGAGATATACTGTTTAACTATAAGGTTTATTTCAAACGGATATAATAACAAGGACCTTTCAGCCACCACACTAGTTTTTATTTTGAAATAATTAGTGAATTGTGGTATTCAACAAAACATTCTCAAAATTACTGACGATTCATAATTATATTTTTTCGCCATGATGTCTTCCTAAAAACTGGAACTGAAAAGGAAAAAATATTAAATGAAACTAGTATGTTTACTTTTTGGAGTTCAGTCTAATTCTATTTATTTTTCGTAATCTACTGCATATGTAAATATTTCACCAGTTATCTATGTATCGATACATATGCCAAATACAGGTGTCACGTATTCAGCACTTACCATTTATGACAAATATTGTGGATAGCTTATTACTCCAGCGTGGGGTCGTACTCTTTTAAGAACTTAAATAGAAACAATATTGTAGAACCAAATTATTAATGAAATTTTCTGAAATACCGCTCATTACAAATACAAACCCATTTAAACCATTGAAGACATTCGGTTTCTATAACTATAACGGTTTCAAACACTCTCACCTAATGTTTAGACAAAATTATCTAAAACTTCCTCCCAAGTATTATTTTTTGATTAAGTCGGGTATTTAATCCTTTCTATAGATACTTTCAAGGTGTAACAAAATCTTTTTAATTACTAGAGGTACATTTATCCAACTGGACTGATTCAAAAAGTAAAAAGGAACGATTGTTTTCATGGTAATAATGGTATTCAAAATCAAGCATACCTTTTCACATAATTCAATACATTCATCCTTGTCTGTTTGCCCACTTCCTGAATAAGATAAACAACTGCCATTATATGCGCATTGCCTTTACACATGCATTTACTTCCAGTTGATATAAATATGTATGTTAAATGATGTGAGGTCAGGTTGAGGTTGAAAGCTATGCGCAGGAAATGGTGTATTAGAAGGCAATATGAAAGTAAGAAATCAAAATTGGTAAGTAACACGCAAACTTGGTAAGCAATCACTGTTGTGCGAAAGACTAAGATAATTTATTTAGCAGATAATAACCAGATGAAAAATACCCGTGTATTAATTATGCCAGCTTTTATTCTTTGTCCACTTCCATTAGCTATAGGCTCGCATCATTTTCGGCCCGAGCCCTCTCCTTCAAAGTCCACGAATTTTCGCTTTATTTTATACCAAGTCGCCAGTTTTGTTACGGATGATCCCCTTTACGAATACTTATTGTGTGATAGATCATAAAAAGCTACCAAATTGAGAAGGCTATCACACATATTTGGACACTAGAGACATAGGCCTTACTAAAAATCACTATGAAAATTTGGCCCTTTTTTGGTACCGATAGGTGAAAATCATGGGCTTGGCTCATGGACTATTAGAACCATTTTGTTTTTGATCGACGGTTAATGTCTTTTAAAGGATATTCATATTTAACTATAAATACTGTATTTGTTTTTTAGGCAAAAAGTGTTTTCTTCTTCAGTAATTTTAGAAACGGGACGATGTTAGACAGTAAAAAACACTCACCATCGGCATCTAGTTTCCCAAATTTAAACATATCATCTTCTGTCAGTACGCCATTTTTATCAAAATCAGCCGATTCAAAGATTGCAAGAGACCACAGTGGCCGAATTCTGCTATCCAGTTTGACCATATATCTCAGCAACTCACTGTGCGTGACTTCATCATTGTCTAAAAACCCAAAGAATAATGGGTATTGGCAATAATCAAAATTTCACATCCAATCGATTCATGAAATTATTCTTTTTGATCACGCAACATTGAATGAGTTTACATGTTCATCTTGTGCAATGCTTATTTTTTGGTATTATAATTCAGTTACAAATTCCAGCTGAAGTTACGTTTCTTATGACTACTGCAGACCAGACGTGCTAAAACTTACGGTCAAAGTCCATGTTGGCCTCTGTCCCAATCCATTCCAGTTTTGTGATGATGCCATCGTTATTGCTGTCCGTGGCATTGCATATTAACTCTCCAATCTCTCTCGCTGTTAGCTGTGGCTTTGCGTCATTTACGGAAGCACAATAACTAAAACAATGTCAATTAAAATTCAAATTATCTCTCTGACGGGTATTCGCAATTATTGTGTTGTGTTGTGTTGTGTTGAGATGTGAATGGGAAGACAAAAGAAGTATCCATATCAGAAGAAATAGCTTATGGGTTTTAATTAACCATACACTGTTATAAGCTGTCAATATGTGACAGATTCATCCTAATTATAAATTTTAACAGTTCTTTGATTATTAAGTTACCCTGAGTCATTGATGAAATTCCTAAAGCAGTTAAAAACGGATTCTAGTGGAGCCCAGACCGACAACATACAGAGAGAGAGAGAGAGAGAGAGAGAGAGAAAGATTAAAGCATGATCCCTAGTACTTACATGTTTGTCACCATGGAGACAACAGACAAAATCACTGTTATCACGTGGAACTTCATCTCCTATCTGCAATGTGTGCTGCATTAATATATTTTAATGATAGTAACCCAGTAGATAAAAGTACAGTGAGACAACTAAATGTGTATTTAGATTTTGCTCTAACACGTCATGGATTAAGGTTGCAAACTGCATCTCAAAGGGACCGTGTTTAAAGATACAATAATCGAATCAGTCTCGCTTTCGCAATGTTCCCTTAGCTACAGTACATGTACCTACTATTTTTATGTCTCATTCCAATATCTAAATAAATGTCTAACTGAACAACAATTATGGGAAGATTTAAAGCTATTGGTTGTAATGTGTCATTTCACACCTTTAAAGTACTGGTATACATACAGTCTGTCACAGTGGATACAGTTTGACTTTGGACAATACGAATCCTTTATACATACTGGCCACGTAATGTAAAAATAACAAAGTGGAAAGGGGGAAAAGGCGTGCAATGTAACCATGTAAACGTAACAAATTATTAGGAAATCAAGTGATGTCAAATAGCAATTATTTCATGTCAAAACTTACTTGAAATTAACGTTAACACCAGCGATGTCTATCAGTGGAAATCTCCCACCTTAATGTCAAACAGAAGCGCACCTCTTTTTCAAGGACGTTAATTACGATAGCTACATGCGATTGTCATTAGCAGACATACGGGTATTTTCGCGTACGTGAAAGTGAACGGAATCCCTTCTACAGCTCGCCTATGAAAAATGTGAAAAGTAGACAACAGTCTCTTACTTGAAAGAGGGACTTTCTTGCTGATATTAAAAATCTGCCCTGTTGAAATTATGCGAAAACAGGGGCAAAATATATAGGAAATTGTGAAAAACATTGGTAAGGTTACGTTAAGAGGTTATCAATGTCTACATGGGCAGTTAGCAGACGCCTGACGCGTATCTTACCCCAATAATATTCTACTAGTACTTTATAGAAGTAAAAGCCGATGAAATTTTTTGAACTGAAGATTTCACTTGAAGATTTGAGATAATTTGTAGCTTAATCGTATCGCGTGCGTCAACAGAATGAATCAAGCAAAATGGGTCCAGGCAGTGATGCCCCATGGTATAAGTAGCAACATGTGCCTCATTGGAGACTACCCCTCTAGGGTACAATTGAGCATGTGCAGAATGTGCATGTGCATAAATAAGCTCTGGAGATTGTTGTCGCCATAAAATGTCGTTTGACTACGCCAAACTAATTTGGCAAGATGCTCAGTTTATTCCAACTAGTCACAGAATAGCATAACCGTAGAATCGATTTAGACGTGAATTCGACCTATATTTGCATAACCCTTCTGTTCATCTCCTTGCGCTTCCCTACCCGCATGATTTTATTAGGCTGTCGTTTCATTAAAAATTTGATATGTTTTTCTTAACATTTGCCATTTTGCGCCGGCATAAAATTATTCCAGGAAAACTAGCTGCCAGGCAGCCAAGCTTGACTTGTTTTTCTTACTACCTGTATCAGCTTGTAGATTTGTTCGTCTAGTTTGCATTCTGATGTAACCAGTATATATATGAGGTTGCGTATGTATGATTGTGGTTGTGTTAGTGCAGAGTAGTGTTTTCGTGTCTTTTCGTTTGTGTTCGTGCGTCTCCGTTTCTTTACATAACACGCCCCTCTTTCTTACGCGGTACATTCATTTCTCGTTTCTGCCACGTCAACTTACAGGTGGGGAGACTTGATTGGTTTGCTTTTCATTTTGTGTTGATATTTTGTATTCCTTTAAGTAATTTTGTTTGATATTTTCAGTGCTTGTCACTTCTTTTCATCCTTATTTGGTTTAGAAGTTTAGTTTAATCACAGTAACAAGTATCTTTAGTTCATGAATGTTGTTCACGTAAATTTTGCTATGTTAGTTCAGTTCTGCATTAAGTCCATTTTATTTATTTGTAAAGTATTAATTGGACATTCGTTTTTCGTTTCTGCCACGTCAACGTACAGCGTAAACTCGGGTTCTTAATAAAGTACATTGAAAGCTGTTACACTAATTACGGGCGGCAGTGGACTCCTCTGTGTAAGGAATACGATTCCTCCACCGGATATTCCATGCTCTTCCTTATAGTAGTATGTAACTGCTTTCCAACTTCGGTTTTGGCTAAGCTTCAGATTTTGTAGTAAATGCTCTCTACTCAAGCTAATTGAAAGGCTTTTATTTGAAGAGCGCTCTGCAGGTTGCTTTCTTCCCAGGTTTGAGCTGTTCTGTGTGTCAAATCTTGAGAAGTATAGGGGTTTAGGATCATTTAACGTTCGCCTACGCTTCGCAATCTATTCTATAACATTTGATGTATTTTTTTAGACTTCTAATGTTGTTTTGTAGTGAATGTAAATGTTTTTGGGAAGTCCTTTAGAATGTCCTAGAACAGATTTAGAACATTTTTATTAAAAGAGAAAATATTATGTTCTACGACAGATTGAGAACCGTATGTGAGCGTGAAATGAGACAAACTTTCGCAGGGGGAAATTCCTGAATTTAGTAATTTAGTAAACTTAAATTTTATAAAGTGTCACGTGATATAATATTCTGTTAGGAATTGGAGATGGTTTAGAATTAAGTGTTACATGGAAATAATTCTAATGTTGCGGTTTTAGAAGTGTCTGAAGTGAATTTTCATGTGGATCGAGTTACAAGAACAGAAATGCACTTCATTTATCAACTTATTTTTGTTTTATGAAAAAATAAGTTAATAACTTTGAAAGATTTATCCTATGGAAAAAAAAGAAATAATCACACAACATTTCACTTTTTTAGGGTAACAGTCAAGTCTTAATCCACAAGATAAAGCACAAGCACACCTGGGCTCGGAACTATTTCTCTCGTCTGCCAGGAATGACGGAGTACATGCACCAGAAGTCGAAAACAGCTCTAGCCAATCAGGACCACTCGTCTCCGTGCATAGCGGGAAAAGCAGTTCCAAAACAGATGATAAAAGCTTGAACTACAAATCATTTATAATTTCAGTAGGGGGAATGGTTTGTTGGTTTGGGCTTATGGATAAAGAATGTTTTCATTGAACTTATTGTGGGAGTGTCACAATAAATTATTCCGCACCAATCGGACAAATTATACTACGTTAGAGCTATCAAAATATGTTACAAATACATTACCGGCATATTTTTATGAAACAAACAAAAACACGTGGATTGATATGGCAAGATCAACGATGCCCATGTGATATTATCTAGTTCCGTTGGGATCGGGTATATAATTATATATAAATGAGAATATTTTGAATACAGTTATGCTAAACGATTTGCAAAAATAAATTGTGCGATTTGTATATAAATACTTGTAAGCAAATTGTATTGTATCTGATCTTTGAGTGTTGGTTTTATATATTTTGATTTGATACGCCAGTATAAAAGTAACAGAAACCGCGACGCCAAAAAAGGTTAGGACAATTGCAATACTTAGTATTAAACATCGACTCAGTTATTAAAAGAGCATACCACGTGTCCCCCCGCCCCCCCCCCAAAAAAAAGTAATAATAATAATAATAATAATAATAATAATAATAATAAATAAATAAATAAATAAATATTAAAGAAGCTCGAGCTTACGCAAGAGTATCATATAGGCGCACGTGTCTACTGGGGCGACGTTACCAGCTCATTAACAATCTACAGTGGATTTGGGCAGATGTCATTTTAACGGGACATATAATTACCATCCTTACAATACATGCTGCCAAGCAATATAAAAAGGCAATATCGAAATACTGAAAAATAATTTGGAAGTAGTGTGATATTCTGTTTTTACTATGACATTCTTTGAAATGAAAACATCACAGTGCTATCACGCAAAATTTTAAAATCACCACATGTTTCATCCTTTACCCAACCGCAACTGAAATGGAAAAAAAGTAAACGAAATCAAACATGTCTATAGTTTATATTTCCCGACCTACGATCCCGATATTACATAAGGTTCATGACCATGCAGATAAATCGACTTGCAGAACTGCAATTGTTTTTTTCGTTTTAAATGTTATTATTCAATAATCTGACACATTACTGAGTGTAACTTTAATATAGGTAGCTTGCGCTATTTGTCTTATTGGTTATTTAACATGGGGTCACCCAGCTGAAACATAATTTTACCTGTCATACCGCAGTAGTAATTATTCTAATACATATGTAAGCATATATTGCAGGCCTACCTATATCCCATTTAATGTATGGTAAAACTTACCATTCATGATAAAGATTGGGGGTAGCTATTTACTCCAGCTGAGGGTCGGCCTTTTTCAATATCTGCAATTGATTGCATATTGTACGAATATTAATAGAATTTCCTGGAATACCCTTCACTACAAATGATTATACCCATTTAATTACGAGTTATTCATCATCGAAGACGTTCGGCGTCCTAGCATTCAGATGACACTTCAGCTGGCAAAAAATGACTGATGATTATTAGGAGAAAAAATTATCTGAAATTTCTTCTAAAATGTTTTTTATTTTACATTGAGATTATTTCTTTAAGTGAGGTATATCTTATATCTTATTCCTGCATTGTACTGCAGATGCTTTAAAGAACTGATAAGCCTAAACACGTTTTACTAGTTGCAATATGAACTAACTCAAATAAAATTGTTAAAGTATGCGTAATAATAAATATAATAATAATAATAATAATAATAAGAAGAAGAAGAAGAAGAAGAATGAAAGCATCATTATAATCGAACACTACCTTTACACATTCCTCAATACATTCCTCGATGCTTAGGAATTCATCATCTGGATAAAAAAACATTTACGTGCATCACTTTGTGCCGTTCCCTGAATCAACACGGAACATAATTGGCTCCGTTTAAGTATAAATAATTTTTGAAATTTAATCTTAACTCAAAGGAATAAAATATGCTTACCATCGATATCTATTGAGAGCATCCTGTCTATATCGGCCGCGGTCAAAACACCATCGTTATTGAAATCAAATAGTTTGACGATCGCATGGATCCACTTTGGTTTTAGCACAGAACTAGTTTTCATGAAATATCTCTCATATTCACTTGGCGTGACTTCATCATTATCTGAAAACACCGAAAAAGCGACAGGCATTGTCAATTATATGTTTCTGTCTCGCGTCATTTTATGATATGTATACTTGGATGTACTTTTTAGTATATTAGACGGTACAATGATGTTAAGACAACCATAAACTACTTTTTATGAAATATTTAGCATATTTTATGTTGCTTTCAACCGTCAGCAACATTAGGTAACCGTAGTAAACCTACGATCGGTGTCAGCGGCATTTAAAAATGCAGCCCATTCCAGTTTGCCGATCACTCCGTCGTTGTCGAAGTCGACGATATCGCAAAACAACACCCCTATTTCCTTTGCAGTGAGAGGTGGCTTTTTGGCATCCGTACGACCACAATAACTGCAACAATGTAAAACAACTCTGTTGAAAAGTATCACTGATTGCGTAATGTGTTATTCATAAAGCATGGAAAGTCAAAAGAAAAAATATGAAACTGACAAAAACCAATGCAACACGACAATTTTTGTGTATGACTGCTGGTTGACGTTTTAAATCGCCGACTAAATGTCATAGAGTGTTGGAAACAATTAATTGCAGTTGCTTTCACAAGTGTACTGAACAATGATTAACAATATATATATATATATATATA